GCGTCTGGGAGAGCCCAAAATGACCTCCAAGATGGCTCAAGATATCCCAAGATGTCTCATAATGGCTTCCTCTGTGTGCTGCCCACTTCTCTGATCGAGGCAATTCCTCTGGGCATCGTTTCTGGATGGGCTGGTGGGGATTCGCGAAGCGACAACAATTGCCACCCCCCCCCTCCTTTGATCGATGGCCTCCAACACAGACCCACGAGGTGCCCAGAAGGCTCCAATATGCCGCCAAGAGGCGCCCCAAATGCATCCCAGAGACTGCCAAGAGGTTTCAAAAGGCTCCCCTGAAGCATCCAAAATGTCCCAAAAGAACCCCGAGACCGCCAAGAGGCCCCCAAGACGCCACAAGAGGCCTCCAATAAGCTCCCAAGAAGCATCCCAAGAGACTCCGAGAGGCCTCTGGCCCATCTTCCCGCCCTCCTCTGCTGCTCCTCCTCCGCCTCCTCCTCCTCCTCCTCCTCCTCCTCCTCCTCCTCCTCCTCCTCATCATCATCATCATCATCATCATCATCATCATCATCATCATCATCATCATCATCATCATCAGCATCATCATCATCACATCATCATCATCATCATCATCATCATCATCATCATCATCATCAACATCACCACCACCATCATCATCATCATCATCAGCAGCATCAGCATCAGCATCAGCAGCATCATCATCATCATCATCATCAGCAGCAGCAGCAGCATCAGCATCAGCATCAGCATCAGCATCATCATCATCAGCATCATCATCAGCATCAGCATCAGCATCATCATCATCATAATCATCAGCAGAGGCAGCATCAGCATCATCATCAGCATCGCCACCACCACCACCGCTATCATCATCATGATCATCAGCATCATCATCATAATAATAATAATCATAATCATCATCATCATCATCATCATCATCATCATCATCATCATCATCATCATCATCATCATCATCATCATCATCATCATCCGCCTGCTCCTCCTCCTCCTCCTCCTCCCTCCGCCCTCCTCCCCCCTCCCCCTTCCTTCATCTTATCCCACCAGCCCTCTGGGCGTAGGTGGTCTGCGCACATGGGGTCAGCGTTGGTTCCCAGTAGCTGTCCATCCAAAGACGACCGCTGAACACGCTCAGGCTCGGGTGTTACTTGTGTGTTGGGAAGGCGGGTGGGAGCGAGCTAGACGGCTTGCGGGCTGGTGGGTAGCTTGACCCCTCCCCCTACCCCCTCACCTGGACCTGGACGGGGGGGGCGCGACGCGTTGGAGCGTCCAAAACGGCCTCGGCGAGGAAACCAAAATCATTGTGCTTACAATGGTGTTGGCCCGACTTTGGCCTCTTGGGGGGGCAGCGCTGAAAAAAGCTCCCTTCTTCTTTGATCGATCTCCTCCAAGACGGCCCCAAAAGCGCCCCTAAAGCTCCCCAGAGCGCCCCAAGAGGGCCCCAAGAGGCCTCCAAGAGCGCCCCAATAGCGCCCCAAGAGGCTCCCAAAAGGCTTCAAGAGGATCCCCGAGGCACCCAAGATGCCCCCCAGACGCTCCAAGAGGCCCCCCGAGGCACCCAAGACGCCCAAGAGCCCCCCAGGACCGCCAAGCGACCCCCAAGACGTCCCAGGAGGCCACCAAGAAGCGCCCAAGCGATATCCCAAGAGGTTCCGAGAGGCATCCAAGAGACCTCTGGCCCTTTTGCTCGTCCTCCTCATCCCGCTCCTCCTTCCTCCTCCTCCTCCTCATCCTCATCATCATCAGCAGCAGCATCATCTTCTTCTTCATCATCATCCTCATCATCATCCTCCTCATCATCAGCATCATCACCACCACCACCACCACCATCATCATCATCATCAGCATCATCATCAACATCGTCATCATAATCACAATCATCTTTCTTCTCCCCATTCCCTCATCCATCCATCCAGCCTCCTTCTTCTCCTCATCCCTCCTGTGCACGGCTCGGCCGTCCACCTCTTTGCTCCCGCACTTCCCTGATCACCTCGACTCGCCTGGACATCGTTTCTGGATGGGCTGGTGGGGATACTTTTTGGGTCGCGACCGCGAGCGGGCACCCGCGCGGCGTCGTGAGGTCAAGCGAAGTGCACGGCTGGTGGGGATAATTACGCGAAGCGTCTAGAGTTGAGCAAGGACAAGCCCAGGAATTGCACCTTAGGAGGCTGGCGCGCCTGGCGCCTCGCGACCCGTGCCTCTGCGCACTGGCGCCGCGACGGCGGGGTCTCCCGGACTGCCACTGCGTGGCCTCCCGAGAGGGCGGCTGAGGCCGCGGGGAGCCGGCGCGACAGACAAAAACTACCTGGGCGTGTCCGCCAGCCGCTTCCCTCCCCCAGACGACCCGACCGCACCCCACCACCACCACCACCACCACCACCACCACAGATCTTCACGCAAGACTGCATGGGAGCAGCGATGGCCAGGACGGAGAAAAAAAAGAGGCCCTACGGTGCAGCCGGCAGGGCGCAAATTGCAACCTTCCCGGGCACGACGGCGAAGAAAAAAAAAAAAAAACAAAAAAAATCCACTCGGGGCTCCATCCAGAACTGGATGGGGCAGCCGTGCTGGCACGCGGACGGCGCGTACGAGCATCGGGCTTCGAGGGACCCCCGTGTTCCCGATATTCGCTCCGTGTGAGAGAGGGGTGGGCGTTGAGCGGCAGCCTGCCCTGCCTCGCGGCCTACCACCTGCCCTTCGCACGTTTGCCGGTGAAAGCCTGGAAGCGGCCGCAAGCGTGCTGGATTGGAGGTCCGGGCATCCCCGTCTGTGACGAAACAACAACACACACACACACACACACACAACACACACACAACACACACAACACACAACACACACACACATACACATACACATACACATACACATACACAACACCCACACACACACACACACACGCACACGCACATACCCGTAGGGGAGTCGGAGGGAGGAGGACTGGCTATAGGTATAGGTGCGGGTTGTCGGACCTCGGGGGAGGCTCCCGTTCGAGCGGGCACCCCCATCCGACAGCACGAACCCATAGCCCTTTCCGTCCCCCTATTGGTGTGCGTGCGTGTTGTTCGTTCGTCAGTTCGGGCGGCCCGCCCGGGCTGGCGGTGGATGTCGCTGCGGCCAGCGCGCTGGCTGGCCGCGGGCGGGCCGAGAGGAGCACCGTCTCGGAGAGTCCCCTGCCCGCCTCCTGCCGTGCCCCTTGAGTACGCCTGGGGGGCCAGGTCTAGAGGGTCGGGGCGCAGGGCGCTCGGGAGGCGTGTCACTTGCTTTTTCCCAACAATCCTATGATGTTGGGTCCTCGTTTTGAAGAGACGGCGCCCCGCGTTCCTTCCTTCCTGCCTCATTCCTTCCTTCCTTCCTTCCTCCTCTCCTCCTCCTCCCCCATCCCTCCTCGCATCCCTGCCTCTCTCCCAGCACAGCGTTTCGGGGATCGGGAGCTCCACCTAAGGCCTCAGTGGCGGTGCCCGCATGCGGTTCCCCGACCCAGTACGGCGTTTCATGGTCCCACAAGGGGGCTCCGCCGAAGGCCTCAGTGGCGGTGTCCGCATGCGGTTCCCCCACCCAGCGCAGCGGTTCGGGGCCAATTAGGGAGCTCAAGCGAAGGCCTCAGTGGCGGTGCCCGCATGCGGTTCCCCCACCCAGTACAGCGCTTCGTGGCCCCATGGGGAGCTCCACCGAAGGCCCCAGTGACGGTGTCCGCATGCGGTTCCCTCACCCAGTACAGCGGTTCGCAGCCCCATCGGGAGCTCCATCGAAAGCCACAGTGACGGTGTCCGCATGCGGTTCCCCCCCCCCCACACCCAGTACAGCGCTTCGTGGCCCCATAGGGAGCTCCACCGAAGGCCAGTGACGGTGTCCGCATGCGGTTCCCCCACCCAGTACAGCGCTTCGTGGTCCCATCGGAAGCTCCATCGAAGGCCCCAGTGGCGGTGTCCGCATGCGATTCCCCCACCTAGTACAGCGTTTCGTGGCCACATAATTAGGGAGCTCTTCCCAAGGACCCAGTGGCGGTGTCCGCATGCGGTTCCCCCACCCAGTACAGCGCTTCGTGGCCCCATCGGGAGTTCCACCCAAGGACCCAGTTGCGGTGTCAGCATGCGGTTCCCCCACCCAGTACAGCGTTTCGGGGCCACAAGGGGGGCTCCGCCGAAGGCCCCAGTGGCGGTGTCCGCAAGCGGTTCCCCGACCCAGTACGGCGTTTCATGGCCCCGTAAGGGGGCTCCTCCGAAGGCCCTAGTGGCGGTTACAGCGGTTCGTGGCCCCATCGGGAGCTCCATCTAAGGCCCCAGTGGCGGTGTCCGCATGCGGTTCCCCCACAAAGTACAGCGCTTCGTGGCCCCATCGGGAGCTCCACTAAAGGCCCCAGTGGCGGTGTCCGCATGCGGTTCCCCAACCCAGTACAGCGTTTCGTGGCTCCCTAGGGGGCTCCACCGAGGGCCCAAGTGGCGGTGTCCGCATCCGGCTCCACCGCCCAGTACAGAGTTCGTGGCCCAATAGGAAGCTCCATCGAAGACGATACTCACTGATGCGGTACTCACAGCTGCAGATGGTTCGGTCCTTCGCGAGGCTAATTCAATCTGCAATGTCTGCTTGGGATCAACTGGCCGCCATGGGCGACGCGCCGACACCTCCGAAGTTGCACCGACGACAAGAACATCAAGTCGTCAGGTTCCTGCGTGCAGCTCTATGGAAAGGCAGGGGACATGGCCTGGCTCCGTTCCCCCTCCTTCCTGAGGGGCAACGATAGGGGGGATAGGCATAGGGGGGAAACATCGACATGGAATGGGCGAGGCATCGCCGCTAGATCGGTGATAGGCCCCCGCTAGCGAATCCGCACCCTCCTGGGCAGGTTGGGGCTATCGGATCTATATCGGCGATCCATGGGCGAACCTCTAGCGGCCGATGCCAGTCCCCCCCCCCATGCCAATCTCCCCCTATCGTTGCTCCTGGCTTCCCCGAGCTGCGACCCTCCCGAGTCCCCGGGTGACGGAGCCGGCCGCGCGCGCCCGTCAGGGCGGAGCCGGAGGGGGCGCCGCCGGGAGCCGGGGCGCCGGGGCGCCGCCGGCGCTCGGCAGGAAGGGCGAGGCGCACCTCTGCTGGAGGAGGGCGCCCCAGTCCACGGAGGAGAACCACGAGTGGCTCCGGACGCGCTGGCTCCCGTCGGCGCCGCTGCCCAGGCGCAGCGTCGGGTCCTTGATCAGGAGCAGGTAAACGAGGCTCTTGGTCACGCTCCCGAAGTACGGGGGGCACCGCGGATCGCGATCGAGCACGTTCTTGCGAGTCTCCCGAGCGGAGCGCCCCATGAAGGGAGTCCCGATCGCGAGCATTTCGAAGATGAGGATGCCAAGCGCCCACCAGTCCACACACTTGCCGTGGCCGATGTTTGACAATACTTCTGGCGCCATGTAGTCCACAGTCCCGCAGATCGTGTACGTTGTTGTTTGAACCACTTTAGCTAAACCGAAATCGACGATCTTCGCGTGGCCCCGTTGGTCAATCACCACGTTCTCTGGCTTAAGATCACGATGGACGATGTCCAAGCTGTGAATATGGGTCAACGCAAGCGTGATCTCTGCAGCGAAGAAGTGCGCACACGAATCGTCAAACTTCGAGCATCTGATGGCCGAGAACAGGTCTCCACCGCCAACAAACTCCATGAGCATGAAGAGGTGCGAGTCGTCCTGGAACGCGCCAAAAAATTTAACGACGAAGGGATGACTGACTAGCCCGAGGAGCTGCTTCTCTTGCATCGCGCGTTCCTTCTGGTTTTCCCTGGTGATGTGACTCTTGTCGATCATCTTCAGCGCAAACGTGGCGTCATCCCTTGCATTGGCAAGCTTGACCAGGCGAACGGAACCCATGGAGCCCTCGCCGAGAGCCCTCACCACCTCGAAATTGCTCATCGTCCAACCCTCGCTCCCCGCGGGAAGCGCAGACTTGCGCGTGAACGTGTCGGTCCTCGCCAAGGCGAGCGGGCTGCCTGGCAGCTCTGGCACGCCATCGTCGATCGAAGAGCTGCTGCTCGCACTGCAAACAACGTCGTCGAACTCGCTGAGAGTCCGGCTGCTCAAGTCGTTGAAGCTGGCTGCGGTGGAAGCCCCGTCATTGAGGTCGTCCTTGCACTTCGTGCCCCTCGTCGCGCGGACCTCCGACCTGGACTTCGCCCTGAACTGGCCCAACTTGAGCACAGCGCGCGCCCATCGCAGCGTCCGACCCATCCCCGGCCAGACGCAGCACCCGCCAGCCAAAAAAATGGCTGGCCGCCGTGGCGTCAAGCCAAAATGGCTACGCACCCTTGTTGGCGCAATCTTGGGACGTCTTAGAGTTAGGTCGGGCATGTCCTCCTACAGGGAGATTTGGGAGGAAAACTAACAAAAAAAAACATAATTATTCAAAATAGATCGAAAATAGTCGGAAAAATCGTCCCCATACGATTTTTTGATTATGTGTTGAATCTTCCTCCTGTAGAGGGACAGGCCCACCTTAATCTTAGAGCGCTCTCGGGGCAAATTGGGCGGTCTTTAACTGGTCCTGGCGGCATCTGAAGCCGCCCAGGTGCGCTCGGGGCCCCAGTAGGCCGTCCGGCGCCCCCATGCCAACCTGGGGTCCCAGTCATACATACATACACTACATACATACATACATACATACATACATACATACATACATACATACATGCATACATACCTACCTACCTACCTACCTACCTACCTACCTACCTACCTACATACATACATACATGCATACATGCATGCATGCATGCATGCATGCATGCATGCATGCATGCATGCATGAATACTTACATACATGTATACATCCATACATGCATACATGCATACATGCATACATGCATACATGCAGATATGCATAATTGCATGCATGCATACATACATGCATACATACATGCATACATGCACACGTGCATACATGCATGCACGCACACACGCATACATGCATGCATGTATGCATCCATGCATGCATTCATACATACATACAGGTATGCATGCGCACATACATACATACATACATACATACATACATACATACATACATACATGCATGCATGCATGCATGCATGCATGCATGCATGCATACATACATACATACATACATACATACATACATACATGTATAATTACATACATCCATACATACATGAAAACATGCGTACATACATACACACATACAACGTACACACATTCCACACACATGTATGCATACATAAACACACGCACACATACATACAGATATACAGACATACATACATACTCGCATGCATGCACGCATACATAGATGCAGTCATGCATACATACATACATACATATGTGCATACGTGCATACTTGCATACATGCGTGCATGCATGCATGCATACACGTATACCTACCTCGTTACTTACCTACCTGCCTACATACGTGCATACATACATACATACATACATACATACATACATACATACATACATACATACATACATACATACGAGAGAACGCGTTTCACGGGTGCTTGCCTTGGGAACAGTCGGCGGCGCGTTTCGAACCAGGGGTGGGCCCCCCCCAACACTCGGCGCCGTCGATCAAAACCAGGGGGACTCCCCTCCCCCCCCCCCCCCCCGAACCCCCCCCCTCCCGAACCCCTCCCCCCATCTCCCGAGGGGGGGGGGGGCGGGTTCTCCCCTGGCGCAGGTGCCGGCGCTGGCGGCCGCCAGCAGCGCCGACCGCGGGGACGCAGCGACGATGACCGGAGGCAGCCCAGGGGAGGGGGGCGTTGAAGACCCCCCCCCCCAGCGCCGGCGCCGGCGCTGGCGGCGGCCAGCAGCGCCGGCGCTGGCGCCGGCGAGGGCGGAGACGCAGCTACGATCACCACCACTACCACCACCGCCACCACTACCAAGGGATGGCGCAATTTTACCAGGGCCCGGCTGGGCGCCCGGACAGCGTCAGGCGGAATTGTGGTATTGTGCAACTACCACCACCACCACCACCGCCTCAACCCACCACCACCACCACCAACCCACCAGACAACCACCACCACCACCACCACCACGGCCACCACCACCACCGCAACCGCCACCACAACTCACCATCACCACCACCACCACAAAAACCCACCACGACTACCACCACCACCACCACCGCAATCTACCACAACCACCACCGCCATCGCCACCACCACTACTAGCAGCACAACCCACCGCCACCACCACAAACCACCACACCACCACCACCACCACCACCGCCACCACCACCAGCACCACGTCCACAAACCACCGCCACCACCACAACCCACCACCACCACCACAAACCACCACCACCACACCACCACCACAACACCACAACCATAACCACCACAACTCACCATCACCAACACCACCACCACCACCACAAAAACCCACCACCACTACCACCACCACCACAATCTACCACACCACCACCACCACCGCCACAACCACCACCACTACTAGCAGCACAACCCACCGCCACCATCACAAATAACCACACCACCACCACCACCACCGGCACCACCACCACCACCACCAGCACCACCTCCACAAACCACCGCCACCACCACAACCCACCACCACCACCACCACCAACCACCACCACACCGCCACCCAACCACCACCACCACCACCACAACCCACCACACCTCCACCACAAACCACCACCACACCACCACCAAACCACACCAACACCACCACCCACCACCACAACCACTACCACCACCACAACAAAACAACACACCACCACCACCACCACAACCACCACCACCGCCACCACCACCACAACCCACCACCACCACCACCACCACCGTCGTCCTCGTCGACGCTCCCCGCCGCCGCCGCCCGCCGCCGCCGCAGGCGCCGGCACCGGCCCAGTCAAGGAAATCGTCGTCCCCGCCGCCGCCACCAGCCGCCACCGACGCAAGCGCCGGCCCGAGGAGAGGAGGGGAAGCAGGGGAGGAAGAGGGGGGGGTTCGAACCCCCCCCCCTCCATCCACGGGGAGGGGGGGGTCCGGTTTCAACCCCCCCCTTCAAGCGACCACAGAACGCGCTCTTTCATACATGCATATGTACATGCATACATACATACATACATACATACATACATACATACATACATGCATACATACGTACATAAATGTGCCATGAATACACATCCATGCCAACTATCAATATATCAATCCATCAACCCATTAATACATCCATACGTACGTAGAGACATGCATACATACATGCACTCCTACATGCATGCACGGCCATACCTATATGTCAACACATGTCCGCATCTAGAATGTGTAGACATAGGCTTACATGTGCGTTCATGCATATGTTATATGTGCATGTGCGGCTCGCTCAGCTAGCTTGCCCTCCTCTCCTCCTCCTCCTCCTCCTCCTTCGTATTATTATTAATATTATTATATTTCTTCTTTATATTCGTATTATGTTTGTGAGTACTATTGGTGTTATGTTTCTTATGTGTATTAGTAGTATTAGTCATATTATGATAATTAATATGATTGCGAATTATTATCCTCGTTATTATGAACATTGTTCTTATTACTATGTCTATTATTATTAATAACATGATTAGTAGTATTATTAGTATTAGTATTATTTTAGGTTTCGTCTTCTTTTTCTTCTTCCTCCTCCTCCTCCTCATACTCCTCCTCCTACATCTCCTCCCTCCTCCTCCTCCTCCTCCCCTCCCCTCCCCTCCCCTCCCTCCCCTCCCCTCCCTCCCTCCCTCCCTCCCTCCCTCCCTCCCTTCCTCCTCCTCCTCCTCCTCCTCCTCCTCCTCCTCCTCCTCCTCCTCCTCCTCCTCCTCCTGTCCCCGTCCCCGTCCTCCCCCCCAAACAGGTGGCGATGCCTTCACACTTTCGCCCTCTTCGAGGGGACGGACTGAGGCCTCGCCCCTCGGAGGCCCAGCTCGGGCCACGGGATCAACGGGGACGGCCCGGCTCCCTCCTCCCCCCTGGCCTCCCTCCCTGAAGGAGCCCAGGGACACACAAATAAACAGACACAAGTAATCGGGTTCCCCATACATTCGAACATTCTCTTGGTTTCGGCCTTCCCCCCACACTTCCCATAGTTTCCGATATTTCCTGGGCATCGACGCTTTGCTGTCCCTGTGTGTGTGTGTTTCCCCTCCTGACTCCGCCCCTCCTGTCCCTACTGCCCCTCAGCACCTGCCCCGGCTCGAGGCTTTTGGTGCAGCGCCCGGGTACCTGGTACCTCCGCTCTGCGAGCCTCCTCAGCATCGGCTGCCATGCGTGCCGTCCTGCGCCCGTCGCGAGCCGGCCGTGCTGCCGGGTGTGCCAGGCCGCACCCAGGACGGCGCCAGGCAGCCCTCGCCGTCGCCGTGACAAAGAGCCTGCCTGGCATCGGCGCGCTCGCGTGCGCCGATCAGCGCCACGCTCTCTCAGCCGTGTTGGTCGTGCTCGACTGACTCGCAAGTCGCACCATAGTGCTATGGGAGGGCGCAGCCCACCATGGGCACAAAGTCCGAGCCTTGGTTATGTTGTTATGTTCACGCTGTGGGGCCTCGCAGCTACCGTCTTCAGCCTGGTGTCTCCAGTGTTGGCCAGGCAGCCCCAGTTCCAAGGCCAAGTCGAATTAAGTTACATGCTAAGCGGCACACAGCCGACTTGGCGGCGGAGGTGGCCAGTGCATGGTCACGCAAGGACTTTCTAGAGTCATTTGCCAAGTTGCGCGCCATGGGCGCCTCTTCTCGCCGCAAGCTCGCTGCCAAGCCTCTGCCTACGGGGAACCACTCAGAACGTTCGCTGATGTCGCCAATCGTTGGGTTGGATCTTTCAGGATGGAGGAGACTGTGCCTATCGTGCCTGCTGTGGACCTGGCTTGGTCTTTTGAGCATCTGCCTCGGTTGCCGCCCGAGTAGCATTACTAGGCAGGAGGTTGTCAAGTCTCTTCTTGGTTTCGCGGGAGAACGGCAGTACGGCGCTCTCCCAACTCGTGGCACAGAGTTCGGAGCAGTGGAGCTGCGCCTCTTTCAACAGTTAGCTGTCGCTCCTAACAAGTCAAAGCTCATTATTGTCATGGATGTGGTCCAGGCTTAACGTTCGGCAGCTCGTGATGCAATCCTCGTGTGATGATGAGTCGCTGGCTAAGTTTTTGTGTTTCTGTGATATCCCTCCAGAAGTCATGGCACAGTTGCAGCAGTAGATTCGTGAAAATCCGCCCTTGATCGAAGCCAATGGGTCCCTCTTCGGGCTGCTCAGGTCGCGGACGCGTATGACCCGCCATGGTTCTACGTTCAAGACGCTACTTCGGTGGCGTTTCCCCACTTTGGCTCGGGTCCTGGGCAGCAATTGGGGGATGCCGTTTTCAACTTCGGTATGGCGGCCACCATGGACCTCGTCAGAGCTAAGCTAGTGCCATTGGGTATCAGATTCAGGGTTCCCACGCAAGCACATGCTACGCTAGCTACGTCTGGAGAGCAGGAGGGTCCAGACAGGACCTCTCGTTCTTTGGACGGTGCCTTTGTTGACGATGCCGTGTTATTATTTCTGGGCCAGGCCCAACAGCTTCTCACGCTGGCGCAGTTACGTGTTGCTGAAGTGGCGGATGCGATTGCTGTACGAGAATGTCGCCTCGACACGCAGGTGGGCAAGATAGATTTCCTTTTTCAATGTCGTGGCTCTGGTTCCCAGGCGGCCAACAGGAAGTTGTGGGATGAACTCGGGGGTGAGTTTCAGGTTCCTACGGAGATTGCTCGGCCTCTAGTGGTCCATGCGGTGCATCAGTATGTTCACCTGGGGACTACGCAAGATGAATATTGCTCCATAGGTCATGAGCTTGCCCACCGTTCCCAGAGCTGTGCTGGAGCTTGGAGAGTTCTACGTTCGCGAGTCTTACGCCATTCCTCCATCGAGCAGGGCACGGCGACTGTGCTGCTGGATTCCTTGGTGTGCCCGCCCGGGGAAACTCTTCCAGTCAGGGACTTGGGTGTGTCTCTCTGATGCTAAGGCTATCATATTGTATCGGGCTATCACCAAGATGCCACGTCGTGATTCCAGTGCTGCCGATGCTAAGGCTGTGCTCGCTGCTGGTAAACCACCCAACCGCTGCTCGTCTCAGTGCTCATCGTCTTCGGCTTTTCGGTCGTTTGCTGCACTCGCATCCTCCTCATATTCTGGCTCTTGCCGCTATCTGCCGTCGTCAATGTCAGAGATCATGGAGTCATCAGGTCATTGCAGATCTCAGGTGGGTTCGTTTGTTTCACCCAGTGCTCCATGAGTTACCAGATCATTTTGAAGACCTGGAGGTATGGGAGTCGCACATCAAGCATTGTGCTACCGGCTGGAAGGCTAACATTCGAGATACGTTGGCCTCTAATGCTCGGCACGTCTTACGAGAGGCTTTGACGGCTTGAGCAGAAAAAACACAATAAACTATATTTGTATGTGCTTCGTGATGCAGGACTTCCGTTTGCGATCAATGAGCCCGACCATCATATTCGATTGGGCGAACGAGGTGTATGCTAAGTCATGGGGGTATCCCTGGTGCGCAGAATGTTTCGGAAAGGCTCGAGATCTTCGGTCTCATATCCTTCACGTGCGTCACGCTTAGATTGATCAGATTCGTCGGACCCTGGGGCCATCGTTGACCTGCAGGCTTCAGGCACGTCAGCAATCGCTCGGCACTCGCTCATCACCTATCGTTTGACTCGCCCAAGTGTGCGGTCGGTCTTTTTCTTGCCGAGTCGCCTGCCCAAGGGCGACGGCTCATCTGCAGAGACGGCGGATGAGCGAAAATTCGACGGAGCTTGTGCGTCGGCGTGCTCGGCTGAAGGCTGGCCAGGGCAGATGGAGAGTGCCAGTGCCAGCTCATCATCAGGTGGGCGTCGTGTCTCGGGAGGTCAGTGCAGTTCTGCAGCGCTTAGCTGACGATGATGCTGGGGACATTCTTTTGCAGTCCGGCTACGCACCTACTCCAGAAGTGACTACCTACCAGACCGCCCCAACCCAACCCGAAGACCCGAATTTCGGGTTTGGGGGGGTAAGGGTTCCACATGTGTTTTTTCTGTTTCCCGACCCCCCCCCACTGGAAATCGAGGGTAAATCTGAGCATTCGGGTTGGGTTGGGGTGGTTTGGTGGGTGGTGAAGAAGCTGGTTCGGTGGTGCTGGAAGTGTCTGCTGCTCCCGCCGAGCCACGTCCCCCCGAGCATGATCCCCCCCCTTTTTCCCGGATCGTCCTGGAGACTTCGAGGGCGATTCCCCTGCGCATTCGTCGGCCCACGTACTTTGCACTGCAATTGTTCAGTGGCCGTCGTCGGTCGGGGGATTTTCAATGGCAGCTGGAACGACAGATCTCGATTGCTTCCGACGAGGTCTTCATGCTCAGTATCGATATCGCGATTGACTTGGTGCGTGGCGATCTGACGAGGGAGGGGTCGGTTCTTGAATGGGCTGGTCATATCCGTGCGGGACGGGGTATCAACACGGGGGGGGATCTCCCTGTGAAACTTGGTCTGCGTCTCGGTGGCACGGGGGAGGTCCCCCCCCTCTCAGGTCGTCTGAATATATCTGGGGAGTTCCATGGGCAAGTACGCGTCAATGTGAGCAGCTTCGTGTAGATAGCATGCTTTTGTTTGCCCTAGCTCGCTTGATGGCGGAGCACTCGAGAGTGGGGACCGGGGCCTGGTCAGAGCGGGAGGAGGTGGAGGAGGAGGTGGGCCCCCAAGGTTTTTTCCTCCTTCAGGTGGCCCCCTCTCCTGTCTCTGGCCGCCTCGCCCTGCAGCAGCACCTTTGTGCTCGACCAGCGCGAACATCAGGGTCCTGGGGCCGATCCTGCTGGGCCTGTTTTCCACCACCGCCACCATCCTCCTTATCCTCCGCCTCCTCCTCCTCCTCGTCCTCCTCCTCCTCCTCCTCCTCCTCCTCCTCGCCCTCCTCCTCCTCCTCGCCCTCCTCCTCCTCCTCCTCCTCCTCGTCCTCCTCCTCCTTCCCCCCTCCAACTTCTGGTGGCGGTGGTGGAAAACAGGCCCCTCAGACCCCTCGGAGCACGGTCGGGCCCCGACCTGTCTGGCTGCGGTTCGCACGGCTTCCTCGAAGAACCGGCTGGGAGACACCCCTGGGGCGGGCAAGTGTTCACACGGGAAGGGGGCCCATCATGGGACGCACGGGAACATACTAAGACTAATATGTCCTCCTTGGAGGCGCGCGTCCGGCCCGAACAGATGGTATGCCCATCCTGTAGTGTATCGCTTCCCGAGCAGTGTGGCCAGAAAGCGCCCGCCACGACGCATATACTATAAGATTTCTCGGTGCGCGCGTCGCCCCTGGAGGGGCGACGCACATGTAGTAGAAGTATGTTTGGGTGACGCCGACATCAGGTTCTCTTGGGCAAGAATGCTCAGGGTAAGTCTCGGACGGCCAGCACGAAGTCTTACCCTCCAGGCATGTGTGCTGCCATCGCTGCCAGTATATGTGACAGTCTCTCGCAGTTACTTGAGCCTGTCGAAGGTGCCGAGTCTCCCTGGGTATGTGATATGCCCAGTGTTCTTGACAGCTTGCAGGATTTCTTAGTGTCTCTCTCGGCTAAAGATGATCAGAAGTATGATGTGGCGACTCATTTTGCCAGGCCCGAGCGTAGCAGGCACCGCTTTCGTGTTGACCCAGAGCGTGTTCGCTTCTTTGATTCGGATGAGGAGTCTGAAGCTGACAGTCCCATGGAGCAGGCTAATCAGTCTGCGTGTCCTGTCCTGTGTCAGGACCAGGATGCTGAGGCTCCCGAGGAACAAGCCATTTTTGGGCAGATCCTCGAGGAGCCCGATTGGGATTTCTTTTCCTCTCCCCCGCTCTTCTCTTCCCCCACTCCCCCCCGCCCGCTCCCCTTCCTCTCTCCGAGTCCGAGCTGCAGCGGATCGCTGCTGACAGGGAGGCCTCCCGCCTCCGCCGCTCCGCCCGCAGGGATGCCGAGGCGGCCGCCAGGAGGGTACCGGTTAATCTCACGGGTCTTTGTTCTCTTCCTGCTCCACCCCTGTGCGGACAGATGCACCTAACGGCATGGAGGAGCAGGATTGGCGGGGCTGCATTGCTTCACTGTGCTCCTCCCAGTCGATTCCTTGTTGCATTAGAGCAGCACACACGCGCATGCCGACGTTCAGCAGCAGCAGCTACTGCCCCTCCTCCTCCTCCTCCTCCTCCTCCTCCTCCTTCTCCGCCTCCTCCTCCTCCTGAATCTACCCTCCCTCGCCGTACCTCCCTGGAGGATGACGGCGACGACGTCGAGAAGCAGGATCAAGAATGCTGAAGTTGAAGATGAGGATGCTGATGAAACAGAAGATGAAGATGAACATGAAAATGAAGATGGCGATGAAGATGAAGATGAATATGACGATGAATGTGAAGACGAAGATGAAGATGATGACGAATATGAGGATGATGATGATGACGATGATGATGTTGATGATGATGATGCTGATGTTGATGATGATGAAGCTGATGTTGATGCTGATGCTGATGCTGCTGATGCTGATGATGATGATGCTGATGATGATGATGGTGATGATGATGATGTTGATGATGATGCTGATGATAATGATGATGATGATGATGATGATGATGATGATGATGATGATGATGATGATGATGATGATGATGATGATGATGATGATGATGATGATGATGATGATGGTGATGGTGATGGTGATGGTGATGGTGAGGAAGAGGAGGAGGAGGAGGAAAAGGAGGAGCAGGAGGAGGAAGAAGAAGAAGAGCATGAAGAAATATAATAATAAGTGTAGGGGGAAGAGGACGAGGACAGATGAGCAGGGGCCGACAGCGAGCTGGAGCCGCCTGTCCGAAGCCGTACTCTCCGCACCAAATCTGCGCAGCGCCACGTTGTTCGCCACGAACTGAATGCACGTGACCTTCGTGGCTCTCACTCTTCGATGCGGTACCCACCCTCGTGAGTTTTGGCTCCCCCCATGCATCGCCGTCTGTAGCATCAGTCCGGGACTTCCTCGAGCAAAGGGGATCTCGCGGGTTTCCGGAGCCCAGGGCCGAGCCCAGAAGCGACCTCTTCCCGCCAGGAACTGGGAACCGCGAACTGGGAACCGCGAACCGGGAACCGGGAGGAGGAGGAGGCGGAGGAGTAGGAAGAAGAGGATTTGAGCAGTCGGATGCATCTATGGGAAGCCAGCCAGCTGGGAACCGAGAACTGAGAACCGGGAACCGAGAACCGGGAAGGATAGGCGACGAGTCCCAGAAACGCAAAGCGCGAACCCCAGGACGCGCACACGCTAGTCCCGGGAACGACGGCGGCGCGAACCCCAGAAACGCGAGCGGCCACCCACGAAAACAGCGAGGCACCATCCCCAGAAACGAAAACCACGACCCCCGAGACCTCAGAGCACGCCTCCTCCTCCGCCTCCTCCTCCTCAACGCAACGCAATGCAATGCAATGCAATGCAACGCAACGCAATGCTACGCCATGCAATACAACGCAACGCAACGGAATGCAACGCAATGCACTGACACGCAATGTGTGCCTCGTCACGTGGCAGCGCCGCGAGGCCGAAAATTTGCTTTCCACTCCACTCGCCACATGGCAACGCCTTGGTATGCGACAAAATACAATTCCGCTCTACTCGTCACGTCGCAGCGCCGTGGGAGCTGAGAAAAATAAATTCCATTCAGTTCGCCACGCGGCACCGCCTGGGGGGCGACAAAACATAATATTTCAAAACATTCGTCACGTGGCAATGCCGCTTGGGACCGAAAAACATACCCACTCCACTTGCCACGTGGCAACCTGGAGGCGCGAAGAAACAGTACTCCATCCACTTTACCTGTCGGTGGCCGAAACTACAACCTATTCCACTCCATTCGTCACGTGGCGCCGCAGGGGCCGAAAAGAATACGATGCCACTCCACTCGCCACGTGGCAACGCATGTAGGCGCGATGAAATCGTATTCCATTCTAGTCGCCACGTGGCAGCGCCGCGGGAGCCGAAACAAACATTATGCCACGAGGACTGCGACGAGGACGACGACGAGAACGACAACGACGACGATGATGACGACGACGATGACGAGGGCCAGGGCGGCGAACAACAAGTCTATCCTACCCTCCTCCTGGTCATTCACCCTCCCCCTTTCCTCATCCCTCCTCCATCCTCCCTCATCTTTCCTTACTCCCCCATCCGCCCTCCGCCCCATCCCCTCCTCCCCCCTCCTCACTCCTCAGTCCTCCTTCTTCCTCACCTCCTCTGTAACTTCCTCCCTTCTCCATCTCGTCCTCCCCCTCGCCCGCAATTTACTGCAATGCTAGATACTGCATATGAAATGCACATGCGACGCAATGCAACGCATGCAACGCAGCAGGACCACTGCTTGACTGGTTGGTTGGCTGGTGGCTGGTCGGTCGGTAGTTAGTTAGGTTGGTTGGCTGGTTGATTAGGCGGCTGCCACGTGGCAACGCCACTCTACTCGCTACGTGGCATCGCCACGGGGGCCAGAAAAATACTACTCCACTCGATTCGCCACGTGGCACCGCCTGGCGGGGACCGACAAAATACTATTACACGATTCGTCCCGTGACAACGACGCGGGGCCAACAAGAACTAGCCTGGCAAAGGACCGAACACTATGCAGTTGTGAACACCGCAGTCGTAGGATCGTCTTCGGTGGAGCCCCTTTTTTAATGACCACGAAACGCTGTACCAGGCGGAGGAGACGCAAGCAGGCTGCGACACTGGGACCGTAAAGTTCCCTTTGGGACAACAAAAACGTTGTAATGGGTGGGGGGAACGCATGCGGGCTGCACCCCTGGGAGTGTCGGTGGAGCTCCCAACGGGGCCACGAGTCGCTGTACTGGGTGTGTGGGGGGGGGGGGGGGCGCACGCGGGCTACGACACTGGAACCTCGAGTGGAGCTCCGTATGGGGCCACGAAACGCTGCACTGGGCGGGGGATGCGCATGCGGGCTGCGCCTCACAAGCGCTCGGTGGGGCTCCCGATGGGGCCATCAAACGCTGTACTCGGTGGGGGAGACGCATGCGGGCTGCGCCACTGGAACCTTCGGTAGAGCTCCCTACGGAGCCACGATGGGCTGCACTGGGTGGGGGGGGGGGGCGCACGCGGGCTGCGCCACTGCACCTTCGGTAGAGCTCCCTGTGGGGCCACAAAACGCTGCACTGGGCGGGAGAGACGCATGCGGGTTGCGACATTGGATAGTTCGGTGGAGCTCCCCATGGGGCCACGATACGCTGTACTGGGCGTGAGAGACGCATGCGGGCTGCGCCAGCGGGGCCTTCGGTGGAGCTCCCAATGGGGCTTCGAAACGTGGTACTGGGTGGGGGAGACGCATGCGGACTGCGCCAGTGTGACGGTAGGTGGAGCTCCCTGTGGGGCCACGAAACGCTCACTGAATGAGGAAGACGTACGCGGGCTGCGCCACTGGGACCGTAGGTAGAACTCCATATGGGGCCACGAAACGCTGTATTCGGTGGGGGGAGTGCATGCGGGCTGCGCCACTGGGACCATCCGTGGAGCTCCCTACAGGGCCACTGGGACCATCCGCGGAGCTCCCTACAGTGCCACGAAACGCTGTACTGGGTGTGGGGGGGGACGCATGCGAGCTGCGCCACTGGAACCTTCGGTGGGGTTCCAACCAAACGCTGTACTCTGTGTGGGGGATGCGCACGCGGGCTGCGCCCCTCGGACCGTCGGTGGAGCTCCCTACGGAGCAACGAAACCTGCACTGGGCGCGGGAGACGCATGCGGACTGCGCCACTGGGACCTTCGCTGGAGCACCCCCCCCTATGGGACCACGATAGGCTGTACTGTGCGCAGGGGCCACGTGCGGGCTGCGCCACTGGCACCTTCGGTGGAGCGCCCAATGAAGCCACGAAGCGCTGTACTGAGTGGAGGAGACGCACGCGAGCTGCGCCACTGGAACCTTCGGTGGAGCTCCTTATAGGGCCACGAAACGCTGTACAGGGTGGGGGAGACGCATGCGGGGTGCGCCATTGTAACCTTCCGTGGGCTCTCTATGGGGCAACGAAACGCTGTACTGGATGGGGGAGACACATGAGGGCTTCGCCACTGGGATCGCCTTATGGGTCCACGAAACGCTGTATTGGGTGCGGGAGACGCCCGAGGGCTGCTCCACTGAGACGGTCGGTGGAACTCCCTGTGGGTCCACGATACGCTGCGCTGGGTGGGGGAGACGCATGCGGGCTGCGCCACTGGAACCTTCAGTGCAGCGCCCTCTGGGCCAACGATACGCTGCACTGGGTGGGAGAGACGCATGCGGGCTGCGACGCTGGAACCTTCGGTGGAGCACCCTACAGGGCCACGAAACTCTGTACTGGGTAGGAGAGACGCATGCGGGCTGCCCACTGGAACCTTCGGTGGAGCTCCCTGTGGGGCCACGAAACGCTGCACCGGGCGGGGGAAACGCATGCGGTTGCGCCCCTGAAGCCTTCGGTGGAGCTCCCTGTGGGGCCACGAAACGCTGTACCGGGTGGGGGACACGCATGCGGACTGCGACACTAGGACCTTCGGCGGAGCTCCCAATGGGGCTACAAAACGTGGTCTTGGGTATGGGAGACGCATGCGGGCTGCGACAGTGGGACCTTCGGTGGAGATCCCTATGGGACCACGAAACGTTGTACTGGGTGGGGGAGGCGCATGCGGGCTGCGCCACTGGGACCGTAGGTGGAACTCCATATAGGGGCCACGAAACGGTGCACTGGGTGTGGGAGACGCATGCGGGCTGCGCCACTGGGACCTTCTGTGGAGCTCCCTATGGGGCCACGATAGGTGTGAGGGGCGTGTAGACATGTGGCGGCGATGGTGATGGTGATTGCGATGGCACTGACGATGACGGTGATGATGACGAAGATGGCGACGATGGTGACGATGATGATGTTAATGTTGGCGAAGATGCTGCCGATGCTGATGATGATGAGGACGATGATGATGATGCTGATGATGAGGACGATGCTGATGATGACGAAAATGACGATGATGATGATGATGATGATGATGATGATGATGATGATGATGATGATGATGATGATGATGATGATGAGAGGAAGAGGGAGGAGCGGGAGGAGTGCGAACGCGGGGCGCACTCTCTTCGAAACGAGGACCCAGCACCACCAGACGGTTGGGAAATACCAAAACATTCACGCGCAACATGGCAACGCCTGGGGGCGCGAGGGAACAACTTCGTCCACTCGGCCCGTTACGCGGCAACGCCACGGGGGCCGGAGAAAAGCTGGCTTGTCGAGGGGCCCAACCATATGCAGTTGCAAATACCGCAATCATAAATATCATCTTCGCCCGCGCTCCCCATAGGGCCACGAACCGCGAGAGGGGCGCGCCGACATGCGTGGCGGGGCGCACAACGCGAGCGAAGACGATAGGTTCGCGTGCGAGAAGGTGGTGAGTGAGTCTGATTGTGGATGAATCTGCGCGCGCGCGAGTCTACGCGCATAAATGTCGACGCACATGTCGGCGCGCCTCTCACGAAGATCGCGCCCGCTTCCTTCCCGTTTTTCTTATCCCTCTTTGCCCGCGCACGCCCGCGCCCAAGGCTGCGGCGCGGCGCCGCACGGAGTCCCCGCGACGCGCGCTGGTCGCCCCGAAGGGGTCCCGGCGTCGCGCGCGGGTCGCCCGCTGCGCGGAGCAGACAGAGCGAGCAGGTTGGTTCCCACCCGGGATGCGCGGCCCGAAAGCGGCCTCAACACATCGAACACGGTGAAAAACTGACGAAAATCTAAAGTCGCCGCCATGCGAACTCCGCCACTGGGCCGCCAAGCGACTTCGGCCACGGAGACCTTAGGTGGAGCTCCCTGTGGGGACACGAAATGCTATACTTGGTGGTGGATGGCGCACGCTGGCGGTTCCACTGGTGCCTT